AGGAAACAAGACCAGCTGAGGAACTGGCGAGGTGAGGTAGCTGTGGCTTGTTCTGCTTCTCTGATCTTCCAGCTTTCACCCCAATAACTGGCCTCAGGTTTGATTTTATTAATAAGACCATTTAAGATTCCTGCTGCAGTTCTCCTGCAAGAAAGGTGCTGAAGAGGCAGGGGGATCTCTGTGAGTTTGAGGCCATCTGGTCTACAGAGTGAGTACCAAGGCATTCAAGGCTACACAGAGAAACCCTGTCTCAAAAAACAAAAAAGTAAAGCTCTGAATGAGTTGTCCTTGGTTGCTACAGAGAACTGTGTGTTGATGCCAGCATGTGGAGCTGAATGCCAGGGACAACAGAAGCAAACCCCTCGTCCTCAGTAGATGCAGGCTCGGGCCCTTCCTGCAATGTTCTTCCTGGGCCTCGTCACTCAAAGCCATTCATCTGGATGTGGCACCAGCAGCCTGGCTGATTACATGCCCCACCATCCCCTTCTGCTTGTTTCTCAACAAGGTATCAGTCACTCCCCAGACGGCTTTGACCTTGGCAGTGACGAGGGAACCTTTGGCACATCTGCCTAAACACAACAGTTGTCTGGCTACGTGACCAACAGAGATTAAAGGAAAACTGCCAGCGCGTGGTTTCCGCAGCAGGCAGGGGTTTTCTCCAGCTGTGAGGAGAGGTACGCCAGTCCACCAGCACCTCTCTTAGCTAACCCCTCCTAGGAACCCTGAGCTCTGCCCATTGCCATCGCAGAAGCCCCTCCTGATCCACTCCACTCGGCAGATGATCTCTACCCTCAGTGCGCTGCAGATCTTGCCGTTTGTTCTACAGCTGACTGTGTCCACTGCCTTTCCTGAATGCAAGCACTCTTCTCATCCAAGTGGGCAGTCTCACATACCCATGTAACTCTCAAGTGTCTAGCAGATCCTGATCCCCCTGAAGGTGACCTGGAGTTCTCTCCAGTGCCCCCTGGTGGCTGGCGGCATTCTCACCAGGTAAAGCCACTGGGCTGTTTCTATGGGACCTCCATTCCAGTGGCCAGGTGAGAAAAAGAAAATTGAAGGCAGATGGAGGGGAGGGAGCGCAAATTTACGTTGAGAATGGACCTTCCTCTCCAGCTGAGGTAAGCAACAGTCAAAGATGGGCAGGGTCTGAATTCAAATTTGACGTCACCACCCAGACTCATGTAGACTTACCTTCATCACCATCAAGCTGGCTTCCTAGATGACGCCCAAGGAGACCTCACTTTGAAGACCAGACCCTGTAAACTGGTGCCAAGACAGGGGGTGCTCCTAAGGAGCCCTAACGTTTCCTCTCCATCCCCCTCCATCTCTTCCACAGGTCTCGGGGTGTCTCTTGCCTATCTTAGAAGATCACGTGGAAGGCAGCTGGCTCACTCTGAGGGGAACTACCTTCCTGGCCTGTAGCTGCTGACCCAGTCACTCCCACATTTAGAAACCTTAATGACCACTGTGGCCATGGGAGGGTCGTGTGGGACTCTAGTTCTCTGAGGCCTCCACCACCAGTCCTATCTTACTTTCCCCACAGCTCCCACTCCCAAGGTCGGACCAATGGATGGAGTTCTCATGTGCAAGACGCTGTGAGGTATGGAGCGACAGGACAAGAGGACGTAGGAGAGAATCCACATAGGCACAGACTTAGGTATGCAGGACGGTTCTCTACTTACTAACTGGGAGACCCGGGCAAGTTTAATTATCTCCCTTTGCCCAGTTTTTTTGTCTTATGAAAAAAGACCTCAATACCCTATTCATGGAGCTGTTAGGAACATTAAAACAACGTAGTTAAGCTTTAGAACAAGGCCTGACACACAGCAAGCTTGCAATAAATGGCAACTTTATCACCATCATTCTCGAAGTCATTTATCCAACACCTTAATTATTCACAGGTTTCCAGAAACATGAGCTCCACCTTAAGAGATCCTTAGAGTTGCTGTCATAGTTCCCTTCCACTTCGAACCCTGAGTGGAATTCACTGCTCTGTGTCACTCAGCTATGTGATATGTCAGCATGGTCTTCAAGTATGTCCCACAGGGTCTAGCTACTCCCTTTTTCTCTTGAATGCCTCTAGTTGCAGGAAACTCACCACCCACTGGGATGTTCTGAACACCCCACTTGCTATTTCCACTCATGGCTAGAGAGGTTCCTTTTTTTTTTTTTTTTTTGTTTTTGTTTTTGTTTTTCGAGACAGGGTTTCTCCGTGTAGCTTTGCGCCTTTCCTGGAACTCACTTGGTAGCCCAGGCTGGCCTCGAACTCACAGAGATCCGCCTGGCTCTGCCTCCCGAGTGCTGAGATTAAAGGCGTGCGCCACCACCGCCCGGCCGAGAGGTTCCTTTTAACACAAGAGCTTAAATGTGGGGTTGGGTAAGTCCCATCTGCATGTCCTGGTTTTACTCTGAACACAGCCCAATCATTCTTCCCCAAGACTTCCTCTTTCAGGTCTCCTTTCCAGGCCAACATGGTTTTATGTGCCCTCACCCTTCTTCCAAATGCTTCTTGGACAAGACCCAGTTTGTTAATAGCACCTTCAAAACATCGTTCCCACACTGAGAAACTGTAAAATCTCTGCTGCAGCTGTTACCCACGCAACACACACACATACACACACACACACACACACACACACACACACACACACACACACACACCACACACCCCACACCTAGAAATGAAGTTGGCTCCCGAGTATATCTTCATTCTGCACTCCATATACTTACTGTCAAAGGTACTTCTGAAGTCCAAGCGCACATCTCTATGATATGCTTTTTTGTTGTTGTTGTTTTGGGTTTTTTTTGTTTTTCGAGACAGTGTTTCTCTATGTAGATTTTGGTGCCTGCCCTGGATCTCACTCTGTAGACCAGGCTGACCTCGAACTCACAGAGATCCTCCTGGCTCTGCCTCCCGAGTGCTGGGATTAAAGGTGTGCTCCACCACCGCCCGGCTATGACACACTCTTGATCTGTCTCCAAACTGACTCTTTCCATGGCCAACAAGGTGTGCAGGATCAGGCCCAGCCTATGAAAAATGGCCAATACAGTGGTGACCAGGCCTTCTGCCTCCCTGTTCTGGACTGTAATAGCCTTCCTGTTCACCTTGTGGATTACAATAACCTTCACCAAGGTCATTACTGTCTTAGTCTGAGGTTAGGGTTAGATCATGGGTGTGGGTTTGGTTATTAATACAGAAGTAGCAGACAGTAAAACAGCATACACTTGATTCATGAATCAGCCCCTCAGGCCCAGAGCAGGCCAGGCCTGAGCTTCCAAGGTCTTCTAGGTGGGTCACGGTGCAAAGGTTCAACAAAGGCATGGAAGGACAGATTTGAGCAGTGGAGGTAAACAGAGAGACCACAGAAAGGTCACTGAGCTGGGGCAGAAATGGGTATGGGGTGGCAGGGACCAGTGTGCCCCACAGGCCCCTGGTACCTGTGAGCAGAAAGGGTCATCCTAAACCCTTCAAGAGAAGCAGGGTGAATCCCAGGCCTGAAGCCCAGCACTAGGTAGCAGAGAGATGACCTTACAGCTGGTGAATGGAAGGACTAAAGGCCTAACTAAAATCCCTGATTCTGGCCCCCAAGAGACTGAGGGGTCTCCAGTGACCAACCCTACAGGCATGGGAAGAGCCTGAGGTGACTGGAGTTGAATTCCCTGCTACTCATTGGGTGAGCAGAATAAATCTGACTCAAATGGTAAAGGCATGTGACCATGCAGCCTAGAGTCATTCATAAAACCCACAGCCACATCTACTCTCATGTCACAGGTCAACTCCTTCTCAATCACATGCCGGTATCTGGGAGACCTGAGTGTATCGCTCTGCATTTATTCATGCTCACTTGTTCTCTTGACCTATTAAAGTAGCCTTCTAATTCCCGAGCATCCTAATTATCAGTCCTAGAAGCTCTTCCTCCGAGGCTCCTGAAAGCTTCAATTTGGGATGCCTTACTCCAGTTGCTAATAACAGGTGTTGAATCTAGCTGGGCAAAGGCTCAAAGAGGGCAGGGCTCACTCGAATGTGCTGCTGAAGGGTCCCTTCCCTGCTGCTGCTGACATGCTGATCCGTCAGCTCTCTCCCATGGTGCATTCAGTCTCAGGAATTTATCTAGCTACAGGGATATCCATTCCACATATCTCTGCCTCGTTCATAAGGATATATTGTCAAATGCCTAGGTGAAACGTAAACTCGCTCCATCTACTACCTGTTCCTAATCCATCAGCATGGAGACCTAGCAGAAGAAAAATAAGTAGGGGGAGATAGCGGGAAATGAGGTTAATGTGGTCTGGCCAGTTGGCTCTAAATGGTCCTGCCACCTTTTCTAAGGGCCCCTGTCCTAGGTAGGATTACTATTGTAGTGATGAAACACCATGACCAAAGCAACATGACTAAAGGAGAGGATTTGCTTCGCTTACACTTCCACAGCACTGTTCATCATTAGAAGACAAGACAGTAACTGAAGAGGGCAGGAACCTGGAGGCAGGAGCTAATGCAGAGGCCATGGAGGGGTGCTGCTTACTGGCTTGCTTCCCATGGCTTGTTCAGCCTTTCTTATGGAACCCACAACTATCACTAGGGATGCTACCACCCATCACGGGCTGGGCCGCCCCACATGCTTGCCTACAGCCCAGTCCTATGGAGGCATTTTCTCCATTGAGGTTCCCTTCTTTCCAGTGACTCTAGCTTGTGTCAAGTTGACACAAGACCAGCCAACATAGCCAGCCCATCAACACTGCTCAAACAGTATCCAGATTCACTGCAGGGAATGAGGTGCTCCACTGCATTGTTCCAAAGGCCTGGAATGAGTTTCTGTTTTGGAGACAGGGTCTCACTGTGTATCCCTGGCAGGCCTTAAATTCCCAGAGACCCACCAGCCTGTCTCCCAGGTGCTGGAATTAAAAGTGTGCACCACCATGCCTGGCACTCCCTGAGACCTCTGTACATTCCCACAGTAAGAGAAGCAGGAAGAAAGTAAAGAAACACAAAGCCACTGATGGACATTTTCTCATATTTTAATTAACAAATCTACAGGAAACCTTCATTAAATCAGAAGACATAATATAAATTATAATGGCCTGTATATAAAATGTGGCACCAAATATGGCCTCTGGGGATCATATATAAAAATAGGCATTAAAATCTGTACCAGAGCATGATGTAGCAGCTGACACAGTTCTGATGAGAGTAGCCATGTGTCAGGCCTGGACAGTGAGAGCCACTGGTCCTCTAGGTGACAGCAGTCAGCCCCAAGCAGGGGTTGTAGGTGCTTCTTCAAAGGCAGGACCCTCAAAAGCACCAAATGCCACAAACCTGGCGTGCTAGGAAGAACAGGAAAGGAGTGCTCCTTTCCAAGAATTTTGGACCCCATCCAAGCTCAGGGACCCTGGTTTTCTTTTAGACAAAGCTGACTTCAGAAGAACTCTGGGCAATTTTTAAATCTATTTTTCTCAAGGAAGTGACCTACTGCTAACTCAGTCATTTTCTGCAGGCCAAGACCCTGCACTGCCCTCCAGGACAGCTGATCACAGAGTAGAGCACAATGAGAATGTGACCATCTCAATGCAAGAGGGTGACCTCAGTGCAGACGTCACACTTCCAAGTGTACGACGGGAGGGAGTGAGACACCATTGGTCCCTTGGATGTGACCTCACTGAAACCACCCTCTGTCTGAATGAGACAACAGAAGCGTAGGGAGAGGAGGGAACCGTATTTCATAGTTCTTTCACCAGCAGGACTTCTCACTACTCTGGCTGAGTGGGGCCAGGACTGCTGTCCATTGGCTTCAACAGGCCCCTGCTTTGCCCATCCTGTGGCTCTGTAGATGCGGACAAGTGTCCCTGACTCATGCATCACTGTTGCCCAGTCTGGGGACTGGGAAACGGAAGGACAGAAATGCAGGGTAGGCAAGAGGAGTACCAGGGGAAGCAGCTGGGAGGAGACAAGGCCTATGGGCTTTAAATGCCACTACTACTTCGGGTCCCAATAATTACTGTCATCCTAGTGGATTCTACAGGGGGATGCAGCCCCCAACACGTTTTACTGAAAGCACACTGCTTTCCTCAGCCGCCTCAGGCTTGACTGTCTTGCTGCAGGGTGAGCTGACATTTTCCTCAACAGTGGTGATGAGGGAAAGGAGAGATGAAGGACAGAAATGTCTGAACCACCCACCACCAGGCAAAAAGCCGGGAGCCACATGGTTGTTAATGAGGGACTTTCTCTAGCAGGCAGCACGTTCAGGGGACAGGTGCTCCATGTTAATGGGACCTGGCACCAATTATTACCATTTCCTATGTGCCAAGGTAACAGGGCAGTACTGTCTCTCGTCACTGTAGCTCTTCTGGGACACAGCTCCTTCATAAATTGTTAGGGCGTTCTGTTGAGAACAAGGGGGAGATGGGCCTTCCATCCTAACTTGGCCTGACAACACCCTCTAGTGGAGATTATAAATAATACAAGGACAGTATGTGTAATCCATCTTCAGACACTACAGTGGTTTCAGGGCTCCCCATAACGAGGAAACAAATCACAAGCAGATTATCTTTACGAAGATAATGCTAACACATAAGGGCAGGAGTTGGCAGCCCATGATGAGCACCCACCCTGGCCAGTGGCGCCCCTTCTCAGTCTCTGGGTCTGCACATTCTAAGGAGGGGCTGTGCTGTGGTAGGAGCTGATAGCCTCCTCAGAGTCTGGGCAGACTGCCTGCTGGTGCCAGGATGATGCCAAAGACGTAGAAAAGCCCCAGCAGGAGGTTGAGCTTGGCTGTCCTCTGGGGCAGCTTGTTGAAAGCCTGGCTGCGGAACTGCCTCTCAAGGGAGAAGGCCATGGGGATGGTGAGCAGGGGCAGCGCCAGGCTGATGCTGCAGTGCGTGGCCAGAATGCTGAAGATCAGGTAGGGCAGAAAGAGCAGCGTGTTGTAGAGCACATAGGAGAAGGTGGGTCCGATGAGGATGGCCAGCGTGACAATGCCAGCCTCCTGGTCAGACTCCATGTCCCTGGTATTGTTGGAATGGAGAATGGCCTCCGTGCTGAGGGCCAGAGGGATGGCATAGACTAGAGGGAAGATGGCCAAGGACCCCACCTGGACAGCGTAGGCGAACATCACAGCCAGTGGGCCGAAAGTGATGAGGATGATGAGGTCTCCCAGTGCCACATACTTGAATCCAATTCCTGTAGCCAGAAAAGCCAGAGAGGCAGTGTGAATCAAGGGCTGGACACAGGGGCTGTCTGGTGAGAAGCTGTGAGGGTAAGCAATCAATGGGGTACCCCAAATGACCCAGTACAGACTCAGGTTTCTGAGCTCAACTGCCTGGTACCTGCCAAGTTTGCCTTTTAGGTTTTCTCCCCAAAACCAGTTTCTGCCACAAAGTGCCCTGAACTCCGGGTACACAGAGATAACAGGAGCCCAAGAACATATGAAAGGCTTTAGGATCCACTGCATTAGACACAGAACTCTTCTGCCCTTCTCCAACCCTACAAGACAGAATGTCCATCCTGCCTCCTTTCCCTCCAGTCTTTCTTCTGGCTTGTTGCAGAGCACACAGGAGAAGGCGGGCCCAATGAGGATGGCCAGCGTGACAATGCCGGCCTCCTGGTCAGACTCCATGTCCCTGGTGTTGTTGGAATGGAGAATGGCCTCCGTGCTGAGGGACAGAGGGATGGCAGACACCATGGTATTCACAACCATATACTTCCATACAAAGAAAGTATCACCCATATAATGAGGAAAACTGTGGAAGTTATCATGCAGTGTTCTCCCTGTGGTTCCCATCAAGACCAAATCATCCCTACAGACCATTCTGCTCCAAAGCCTGCCCATAACCCCTCCTTCCAGCCCCCTCCCTCCATCTCCAGCACCATACTACATCCCACATCCAAATCAGGGTCTTCTTTCTCTGGAATACTGTAACACCTTCCTAAGTGGTTTTTGATCTTGTAAGAACCTCCCACCCCATTCCAGTGTTCCTTTAAAACTCTGGATTTGCCCCACCTCCCAACACACACTCAAACCCTCAACATGCCTGTGCCCTCAGAACCAGGTTCCAGCACCTGTCCTGCCACAGCTGGCTCCCGATACTTGGCACTAGGGCTGAACTGAACACAGCCAGAGTAACAAACACTTCAATCTGGAACTGTGGTCGGAGGTCAAGAGTATTTCCCACTCTGGCTGGGACAATAAAGCCATCTGCAATGGTGGGAGGTGACCAAAGGGATGGCCCAAACTAGATTGCTACAGTAGTGGGAAGCCTTTGGATCTATGATGCTGTAAGGCACCGCCTCAGAGTATCCAATCACATTTAACCAGTCTAAAATGACAGATGACAATGATCTACAGGGGATCTAAAACCACAAAAACCAAGGACCAAGATCTGGCCAACTTCACCTTTACAGAAGCAGTTGTGGATCTGCTGGCAGCAAATGAGTACCCCTGGTTTTTAAAATGCAGCACCCAACAAGGCATCATAGGAATGACCCTCAGTTCCCCAGCACCAGGAAGCTGATCGCACAGAGCCATGCTGTGTGTCGATGACTTGGTTATCTTAGGACATGTGCCAGGAGGAAGTTCTGTTGCATGAATCTTAAAGTTCTTATTAATAAAAACAAACCTGAGCCGGGCGGTGGTGGCGCACGCCTTTAATCCCAGCACTCGGGAGGCAGAGGCAGGCGGATCTCTGTGAGTTCGAGGCCAGCCTGGGCTACCAAGTGAGTTCCAGGAAAAGGCGCAAAGCTACACAGAGAAACCCTGTCTCGAAAAAAACAAAAACAAAAAAAAAAAAAAAACAAAAAAACAAACCTGAGGCCAGGTATTGGGGTGAACTGGAAGATCAGAGAACCAGAACAAACCACAGCTAACCTCACCTGGCCAACTTCTAAGCTGATCTTGTTTCCTCAGACTGGAAGCTTCTGTGTCCTCATATCCGAATGGCTCTCAGCTGAACTGTGCTGCTCAAAACCTAAAAGCTTAACCAGCCAAATGCTTAACCAGCCAAATGCTTCCAGTTTCTGGTCTTTACGCCTTATATACCTTTCTGCTTTCTACCACCACTCCCTGGGATTAAAGGCTCACTTTCTGGGATTAAAGGCCACCATGCTTGGCTATATCCTTGAACACATGGATTTCTGCCTCTGGAATGCTAGGATTAAAGGCGTGTGCTACCACTGCCTATCCTGAGTATCTAGTGGCTTTTCTGTTCTCTGACCCCAGATAAGTTTATTAGGGTACACAATATTTTGGGGTACACAATATTTTGGGGAACACAATACCACCACAAAGTTCCCTTGAGAGAACACCAGCCGTGAACCAGTGAGCCCCCACCCCCTGCATACTGCAGGTGTTGAGGAAGCCTCCTCCCAGGCCAGGCCAGCACGAGGCTCCTATTTTCACTTATACTCACTGACCTACACACCACAACACGACTCTGGAAGGGGAAGAAGCGGCCTCTGGCTGGATGATCCAAGACCCCTCCTTCCTTCAGCAAGCAAAACGTGCCTGGAGGCAGCTGCTTATATGGAGCCTCGAGGCCATGAGCATGATTCCCAGACACTCAGGAATCTCTCACTCCTCCTCAGCAGGCCCTCACTTTCCATTCCATGGCTGTTTGCTTACCTCTATTGCAAAAGGCATGACTTTCTTTCTTTCTCTTTTCCATCTCCCTCTTCCCAGCAGCTAGAGATTTGCAGCTTGCTTTTCCCTGTTGATCTTCTCTGACTCTAATAAAACTGTACTCAAGGCCGGGCATTGGTGGCGCACGTCTTTAATCCCAGTACTCAGGAGGCAGAGCCAGGCAGATCTCTGTGAGTTCGAGGCCAGCCTGGTCTACAGAGCAAGTTCCAGGAAAGGCTCCAAAGCTATACAGCGAAACTCTGTCTTGAAAAGCCAAAAGAAAAAAGAAAGAAAAGAAAACAAAAACAAAAACCTGTATTTAAGCTTCAAAACAAAGCAAAACAAAATCACAACAGAAACCTGGGTCCCCACCTTAAATAAGTCCTTCCACCAAAGCCAAGCATAAACCCACTCAAGGAATGAGAAGGTCTTATAATCTTGAGTTTATCTGATGCAAGAAAATGACAGAGGCTTGGGAGAGAGCACTTTCTCAGGGTGTAAGACACAGCCGTAACCCTCCTGACTCAGAGATGTGACCCGCATGGGAGTTTCTTTTTAAGCATCCCCACCCCTCCCAACACTAAGTTCTGAAGGAGATAGCACAGTGAAATACTGGGACCTTTCTTCATGTAGCAGCTAGGATTAATCTGTTAAAACCTACATTAAAGCCGGGTGGTGGTGGCACATGTCTTTAATCCCAGCACTCGGAAGACAGGCAGATCTCTGTGAGTTTGAGGCCAGCCTGGGCTACAGAGTGAGTTCCAGGAAAGGTGCAAAGGTACACAGAGAAGCCCTGTCTCGAAAAAAAACAAAAAAAAAGAAAAGAAAAGAAAAGAAAAGAAAAAGACCTACATTAAAAAGCTGACAAGGACCAGGACCAGGTGGTAGTGCATGCCTTCAATACCAGCACTTGGAAGACAGAGGCAGGAGGGTCGTGAGTTTCTAGCCAGCCTGGCTACACACAAAGAGGCTAACTCAGGGAGGAAAATGGCAAAGGTGCAGAGCCACTGAAGTCTCATGCTGCTGTGGGAATATGAGCAATACAAGTACTTCTGAAAGGGGCTGGCAGCTCTTTGTAGAATTCAACGTCACCCAGTGGAGGCCACTGCAGTTTCATTTCCAGGCATTTACTCAAGAGAAATGAAAACAAATACTCATAAAAAGACTTGAACATGAATGTTCAGTCACAATAGAAAAAACAGAGACAACCCAAAGGTCCCTGAACAGGTGAGCAGAACACAGTGTGCTGTGTCCCTCAACAGATGCTGCTCACAATAAAAAGGAGCTGCCGACATGCATGACAACACAGTGAGCTTCCAACATCACACTGGGCAAAAGAAGCCAGACTCCAAGAGCTCATACTGAGGCCAGATGTGGCAGCCCACACCTTTAACCCCAGCCCTCGGGATGCAGAGGCAGGAAGATCTCTGTGAGTTGGAGGCCAGACTGGTCTAGTGAATTCCAGACTAGCCAGTGCCATATAGAGAGAGACCTTGTCTCAAATAAAACAAAACAAAAAATCCCCCAAAACAACAACAACAACAAAAAAAAAACTCAGAGCTCATATTGCAATAAACAAAGTCACAAGTACTCCATATGAAATGGGTCCCTCTACATGGTGCTCTAGACCACACAGAACTAACCTAAGTAAAAGAAACTAGAAGAGTAGTTACCTGTGCATAGATGAGGATGGATGGGGCTGGTAGGAAGAGCCCGAGGAAGCACTAGGGGGTGATGGAGATGCAGGGACTATACAGCTGTTCAAGGTTCACCAAACCAAACACACTTCACTGCAAGTCAATTCTATACCAGTAAAAGCCAATGTTAAAAGGAAATCTACAGACAGGCAGTGGTGGTATACCCCTTTAATCCCAGTACTCTGAGACAGGCAGATCTCTGAGTTCAAGGCCAGCCTTGGAACTATAGAATGAGTTCCAGGACAGACAGGGCTGCACAGAGAAACTTTGTCTGGAAAGAAAAAAAAAAAGAAGAAAAGAAAAAGAAAATCTACGGAGCTGAAGAGATGGCTCAGTGGTTAGGAGCACTGGCTGCTCTTCCAGAGGACCCAGGTTCAGTTTCCAGACCCACAGGGCAGCTCACAAGAGCCTGTAACTCTACTTTCTGGGGAGCCAGTGCTCTTCTGACTCCGTGGGAACCTGCAGGTACCTGGTGTACATATATACATGCAGGCAAAATGCATGTGCACATAGAGTAAAAATGAACATTAAAAAAAGTCAGCTTATGCTGAATACATGTCAATCCTAGTTGTTCACTCCATGAGTACTTACATGTGTAGCATGTTATGTACATGTATGCAGTTGTGCTCACTCACATATGTGCTGTGTCTTCCTCTATCTTTTTTTTTTTAAGACTGGGTTGGGGGTCACTTGGAAGCCCAAGCTGCCTCTGCTTCCTGTGCTAGAATTAAACAAGAAATCAAAGCCTCCCAAAGAAGGTGAAATGGGTGGAGGTTAGAGTAAGCCACACAGAGATGGAGAAGAGCATTCTAAACAGAGATTGGCACCTGTAAAGTTTATACCTTGATATTCCAGGTCCAAGAGGAAGATGAGGGCAGGTCAGAGCTGGGGAGGGCAGAGGTATGCAGATAATGAGGCGTCCTGGCTGTCACTATAAGGACTTGGCTTTACTCTGAATGAGACGGGAGCCACTGAAGAGTGCTACACAGAGGGCTGCCAGCTGCCTTCCACTACCAGGGTTACTGTGGGTGATGATCTGGCAATAGCCTGAAAGGGATGAGGGCAGATGTAAAGAGACCATTAGGAGCTTCTGCAGCACTCCAGGGAGAAGGTCACGGTGGAGGCAGGACATGGAGAGAAGTGGTCAGATCTCAGACTGATTTTTAACAGAAATACAACTTGCTGATGCTCTGGGTGTCAGGTACAAGAAGAGTCCAGTCAGGCACGGTAGTGCGCACCTTTAGTCCCAGCACCTGGGAGGCAGAGGCAGGTAGACCTCCGAGACCACCGTTTTACAAAGTGAGTTCCAAGACAGCCATGACTACACAGAGAAACCCTGTCTCAAAAAAACAAAACAAAACAAAAAGTCAAGAAGGGTGTCCACAGCTTTGGGTCTAAAGAGCTAGAAGGATGAAGTTATGAATGGACCAGAGGTGCAGGTCAGTGGTGGAGTGCCTGCCTAGCATGTGAGGGGCCTCACACACACACACACACACACACACACACACACACACACACACACACACACACACACACACAAATACACACAAACACACATACACAAACACACACACAAACACGTAAAAAAAAAAGGAGAAAAAATGCCATTGAGTAAAATGAGAAAATCTATAAGTAGCAACTATCCTTGGAGAAAAGACCAGGAATTTGAATTGAGACCTGTTCTAGGAGTGAGTATGATCTGGGTGTGGCAGGGGTGTAATTCACAGGTAAGGCACACACTTACCATGCTGTACCACTGAGGAGAGCCCTGGGCACTGTCCAGTCCCCAGCATCTATGCCCCAAAAGACATCAGATATGAGCCTGGAGTCTCCGAGCTTAAAGCTTGAGAGTCACCAGCTTAATCAGACAGACTGGCTATAGTCACCAGGAGCCGAGGGAAGGAAGAGACCTTTGCACTTTTGGCCCTTCAGTCCTGAATGACTCAGCACTGCAACCAGACTCTAATTCTAACCCAGGGTCGGTTCTGTTTCCTTCAAGTCTTGGTTAAAACGTCTCTTAAATAAGGAGAATGCCATGGATTCGAGAAGAATTCCCAAAGGCTTGTGAGTTGAAGAGTTAGTCTCTGGGCTGATGGAATATTTTATCTTTAGCACCTATTTTTATTTATGTATATGTGTCTCTGTGAGTGGATGGCACACACATGCAGGTACCTGTGGAGACCAGAAGAGGAGCTGGATCCCGGAGCTGGAGTTAATGGGTGGCTGTAAGTGGCCTGACGTGGTATTGGGAGTCAAAACTTGGGTCCTCTAGAAGAGCAGCAAGCACTCTAACTGCTAAGCTGTCTCTCTGGACCAGTGGTAGAGTTTTCAAGGGACTGGAGCCTTAGTAGGCCTTCCAGTCACATGGGGGTGCGTACTTGGAGGAGACACTGGGACCTGGATCTAACCCACTCCTCTTTCTTTATTCACTCCCAGACCCAAGACACATGGACTTCCTCAGCTATGGATTCTCTTGCCAAAGACCAAAAAGCCATAGGCCAACCAACCATAAACTGAAGCCTCTAACATGCCTTTCCTCACGTTAGTCTATTAACTCAGGTATTCTGTTACAGTAATGGAAAGCTGACTAACAGAGGCTCTTCACCACCACTTACACTTTCTACCAGTGTCCCACAGGTTTCCCTTAGCAAACTTTTTAACTTTTTTTTTTTTTTTTGAAACAGAACCTTACTATGTAGCTCAGGCTATCCATGTGTGTGTGTGTGCGTGTGTGTGTGTGTGTGTGTGTGTGTGTGTGTGTGTGTGTGTGTGAGACGAATCTTCCCGCTCAGTCTAGTGGTGGAGGTATTACAGGTGTGGACCACCATACTCAGCCTCTATCAAAATTTTGTGCTCCTTTGTTTTTTGAGACAAGGTCTAACCTGGAACTCATTCTGTAGACCAGACTGGCTTCAAATTCACAGAGATTGCCTGCCTCTGCCTCAAACTTTTTTAATTGCCCTAAATTTACAACTGGCTGCTGGGCAACTACAGTCCCTTGATTTTCTTTCCATTCCTTCAGTCTCCTTTATATGGTCCTCATATTCCCCTCCTCTTAGGCTAGAAGGCTCCAGGCTAGAAGGCCAAACCTTCTGAGTCAAACTTAATAAACTACCTAAGATCCAATCCAACGGCAAACAGTATCTACCTCTAAAGTCTAATCAGAACCTGCCTCACCTCCCTGTGGCCACCACCTTGATGTGAGCCCCTAGACATCTTGTCTGAACTGCTTGAGGGCCTCTGACTTGGTCTTCCTTCTTTCATCCTTGCCCACCCTACTTATCCACCCCCAATACCACAGCCAGAGACTCTTTCAAGCCATGACATCATCACACTGCTGTTCAAAGCAATGGCCCCTGCACTTTGAAGTCCAGAGGCCTGAAGGGAGGGTCTGCCTGTGCAGTCTGCAAGCCTCCCACCCCTCCCCAGACTCACTCCTCCTCCTCTACCTCCCTGATCTACCTCCCTCATGTACACAGTGGGCTTCTCCCTCCAAATCACTAGCACTTTGGTACTCGCTGTTCCCCATACCTACAGTTCTACTCCCAGACATCTACATGGCCAACTCCACCATCTCTCACTGCCTTCAGCTCAGGTGTTACCTCCTTGGTGAGGCCCATGCCAACCAAACTACTTAAGACAGTCCTCAGTGTCCCCTTGGCTGCCCTGTCCCCGCAGCACTTACCACCTCCTACACCCAGTTATGTACTGCATTGCACTTCAGTTAATGATGGACAAGATACACAACAGTCCCAAAAGAGTAAAAGGGAAGATGACAAAAAAAAATTAAATGTCTATGTTAATAGTTTACAGAGTTATTACTATGCTGTCTTAGTACATGTTAAACATTTTCTATTTTGAGTGTGTGCACATGTGTAAGAGAGGTTTAAAGACAACTTTTGGAAGCTGGTTCTCTCCTCCTACCTTGTGGGTCCTGGAGATCAAACTCAAGTCCTCAGGCTTGGTGGTAGGTGCCTTTATCCACTGAGCCATTGCCAGCCCACGTTATGCTGTTTTGTTTTTAAATTTCTATGTGTGTGTTTATCTGTGTGTACGTGTGCTGACTCCGACTGAGGTTCTAAGAAGGTGTTGGAGCCCCTGAAGCTGAAGTGTGTTTATAAGGGGGCCAACATGGGTGCTGGGAACTGAACATGGGTCCTCTGCAAGAACAGTAAGAGATCTTTTTCTTTTCTTTCCTGCAGCCGAGTTTCCTGCATTTGGGGAAATTACAGGGGTCAGCTCAGTACATCTGGAGTGCAATGGATAAGACTTGTTCAAGGAGGGCTACTTTATGATAATGGTATTTCCCCTACCGGTAAGTATTAAGATTTATTTATTTAGCCAGGTGGTGGTGGTGGTGGTGGTGGTGGTGGTGGTGGTGGTACACACCTTTAATCCCAGCACTCCAGAGGCAGAGGCAGGCAGATCTCTGTGAGTTCAAGGCCAGCCTGGTCTACAGAGCGAGTTCCAAGACAGTCAGGGCTGTTACACAGAGAAATCATGTGCTCTGTCTGAATATATGCCTGCACTCCAGAAGAGAACAGGTTCCATTATAGATAGTTGTGAGATACCATGTGGTTGGTGGGAAATGAACTCAAGACCTCTGGAAGAACAGCGCCATCTCTCCAGCCCCCAAAGTAAGAGATCTTAAAGGCTAAGCCATGTCTCCAGCAGTGAGTAATGTTCATAATCCACTACCAACCAGGGTCTTCACAACTTAAAGTTTTCCAAGTATCCATGGCACACATATTTTGGAATTCCAGTCAAGTGGCCTAATTCAGTAAGGCGTCTTTGACACTTCTACAACTCCTATGTAAAGTAGCAGTTTCCAGTTCAAGCAATTGGGACCTTAGAGCAGGAAGCAGGACAATTCTTACCTCCTGTGTAGAGAAAGGAGCCAGACAGGCCTCCAAAGTAGATGAGGGCCAAGTGCTCCAGTTTCAGAGTGGACAGGTAGTATAGGCAAGCAGCACAGACACAGCCCAAGGTGTAGAGGAAGACTCCAAATCGAACAACATCCCGGGGCTCCAAGATTCGGTCCACCAGAGTCCTGTCATCACTCTTTTTGTGGTCAATGCCCTTGGAAAAGTCATAGTAAGTGTTGACCAAATTGCCGGCCCCGTGCACAGCCAGCACAGCCACGGCACAACCCACCAAGAGCCTGGGATCCAGGGCACCCTGGGATCTGTAGGCCAGGGCACTGCCCAGGGCCACAGGGGTGAGCGAGGCACTGAAACTCCAGGGCCTCAGGGCCAACACATAGGAAGCGCACTTCTGTCTCCAGGAACGCTGTGGAAGCCTGTCCTGCTCAGCCCAGACGTTCCCCAGCGGGTCCCTGTCCTCGACCTTGGTCGTTTCTCCTGCCTGGATATTAATCTTCTCCCCCGGGGCCTGCAACGCAGCCATGGAAGAAGCTACACGTGGCTAAAGTCAATTCTAAAAGTGAGCCCCTCACCAGGACAGCCCCAGGACGAAGATAGGCGGGGCAGCCTGGCCTGACCTTTCTTTGGTTCCGCCCCGGGGCAGGGTTTGGGAGGTGGTAAAAACAGGCGACAGCAGAGAGCAGGCCATGCACCCTCACGGGGCCGGCGGCACTGCCCCGACCAGCTGTCACCTGAGCGAGGCCTGTGCGATTCCCTTTCCCGGACCACAACTCAACGACCCGGCACAGCCGGCAGCCTCCAGCGGGCCACCGCCGCCGCCATCTTGTGCATCCTTCTCAAGAGGCCGGCCCGGAAACCGACGCCCGGGGCCGGCAGGGCCGGGAGAAGGCCGGCGAGGGGTGTGGCCGGCGAGGGCGTGGTCAAAGACCAGAGCCCGGGTTCACCAAATAAGCTAAAGGCAAGAGTCACTGGAAAAGATCCCTTTAGCACCCCAAGCATTTCAGGGCGGGTCGCTTACTGAAATAAGACCCATTGTTATGGGGATGGTTACACCAACCAATCCTACGTTGAAAATACTGTGTGCAAGCTGAGCCTGGTGGTGCATCTCTGATCTTAGAACTTGGAAAATGATGGCAGGAAGAAAGTTCAAGGACATCCCTTATTATATAGTGAGTTCTAGGCCAACCCAAGCTGCATGAGAGCCTGTCTTAAAGAAGAACAAAGGAGAAAGGAAAGGGGGAGAGGGAAGGGACAGGGAAAGGTGAGGAAATGGAACACCAAACAGAAGGGGAGGAGAGAAAGAAAAGAAGAAAAAGTGTTCATAAACAGAGAGCCAGGTAAAGAAAAATACGATGCAATGTTATGGAATATATAGGTATAGCTGTAAGAAAAAAGAACTAGGAAATTTTCTGTGTACTAAAATGCAAAGACCTACAAGATACACTGGGTTTTTCATTTGTTTCTTTGTTTGGAAACAGGGCCCAGGGCTGGAGAGATAGTTCAGTGGTTAAGCACAGTGGCTGACCTTACTGTGGGTTCAATTCCCAGCGCCCAGAAGGCAGCTCACAACCACCTCTAAATACAGTTCCAGGGGATCTGGTGTCCTCTTCTGGCTTCTAAGGCACCAGGCACAAACATGGTGTTCATACATGCAGGAAGATCACAGCAGATATACACTCAGACAAAACACCCAGTCAATATAAAATCCAATAATAAAAAAACAGGGGCCTATGTAGCCCAGGCTGTCCTGAAACTGGCAAGGTAGCCCATAAGGACCTTGAAATTCTGATCCAACCTTAAACTTTCTCCAATGCCCTGAATGCTGAGATTATAAACACTCACCCACACATTTGGTTTTAGGTGGTGCCAAGGATTATGCACACTAGGTAGATAATCTACCATCTGAGCTACATCCCAATCCTACAATTTGCAGGCTGTTGTGAGCTATCAGATATGGGCACTGAACCCGAGTCCTCTGAAAGAGCAGCAAGTGCTCAACCAATGAGCCACCTCTCCACTCCTTATTTCAAATTTTACATTTTAAATTAATGTTATTGTTCTTTTTCAAACATTTATTTATGGGGGTGGTGCATATGTGCTAGGTCAGAGGATAACTTTCAGGGTTAGGGTGTCTCCATCCACCATGTGGGTTCTGGGGTTTTAACTCAGGTCTTCAGGTCTGGTGGTGGTAAGCGCCTTTAACCCAGGGCCATCTTGCTGGCCCTCTCTTACTTTTTGACACAGCATCAAATGTAGCCTGGAACTCAAGATCCCCTGCTTCAGTTGTCCAAGAGCCAGGATTACAGGTGTGTAAGAATTTGTAAATAAGGTAAAGGCTCCCAATTAGTTAAAACATGTTTTTAAATTACAAAACATTGATACACTTCTTATATATTAAATTGGAGAAATGTCAAATACACACACACACACACACACACACACACACACACACACACACACACACACATTGACAGGGTTGAGGACCTGTCTGACTCCATCTTGAAGGCAGGAGCCCTTCCTTATGCTGTATTGTTAAAAATAAGTGTCCATTCATTGTAAGAGCTGAGTTGCTGTTTTTAGTCTGTTTCCTGGAGGCTGACCTGCCCCAACCCATGACCTTGACTTGTTTTTGAGAATACCCTGACCCTCCCTAACCACCCTCCTTAATTACATGGAGACCACATGGTGTTTTTTGAGACTTTTCTGTATTTCCTTATTGCTCCATTGTCTTTCTTCTGTATGAAAGCTTATTTTTTCATAAAAAAAGTTCTTTTTGTTATACAATTAATTTGTAGTAAATTATTTTGGTCTAAAGAAAGTATGTCTTCCAATGGGCAGTGGTGTCCTGTGGTGATATATTTGTAATCTAAGAAATAAACCTTGCCTGAGGATCAGAGGACAGAGCCAGCCACAGAGTTAGCCATAGAGGTCAGGGAGTGGTGGAACACACCTTTAATCCTAGCACTCAGGAGGCAGATGAAGAGATTCATCTGGATTTCTGTGAGTTCAAGGCCACACTGGGCTACACGAGATTAATCTAATAAAAGAGAAACAGAGCCAGGTAGTGGTAGCACACACTTTTAATCCCAGTACTTGGGATCACACACCTTTAATCCCAGCACTAGAAAGTTTGAGATAGGAAGTGATATGGCTGGGCAGAGATAGGAATATTAGGCAGGAAGAGACAGGAACTCATGCTCTTTCAGGCTGAGGAGTTGGTGAGGTAAGAGGTGGTGACTGTGGCTTGCTCTGCTTCTCTGATCTTTCAGCTTTCACCCTGATATCTGGCTCTGGGTTTTTATTAAGACCAATTAGGATTCATGCAACAGTGTCTCATGCCTTTAATCCCAGCTCTTGGAGGGTATAAGGGCAGGGGGATCTCTGTGAGTTGGAGGCCAGCCTGGTCTATAAAGCAAGTTCCAGGACAGCCAGGACTATTACACAGAAGAACCCTGTCTTGAAAAACCAACAAAAAAGAAAATGAAAGAAGTATGTCTTCCACAAATCTCATTACATTTTAGTTGGCATTTCCCCAATTTATTTATTTGTTTGTTTATTTTTGGTGGTTTTTCCAAGATAGGGTTTCTCTGTGTAACAGCCTTGGCTATCCTGAAACTCAGAGACTCACCTGTCTCTGCCTCTGGAGTGCTGGGATTTAAGGCGTAGACCACTACACTCAGTGGCATGTCTCCCATTTAATACCTAAGAAATGTATCAATGTTTTATAAGGAGTACTTGCTGTAGTATAACTTGTACTTTGGATTTTTTTGTTTTTTAATTTAAAAATGTAACTTTAAAATCTAATTGGGAACCTTTACCTTATTAACAAATATTTATCTGCATTATCATTTTAATAGCTTCACATGTTTCTCTTAATATTAATATATTTTAATATTTTATTCAAATTCCTAATTCAAGCTATTTAGGAATTTTCAATGTTTATCACAACACCGATATTAAAAATAAAGATTACACAGAAAAGATGTGCATAAATTTCATTTGAGATTTTTAAGATTTATTTTTATTCTGGGTGGTGGTGGCGCACGCCTTTAATCCCAGCACTTGGGAGGCAGAGGCAGGCTCCAAAGTTACACAGAGAAACACTGCCTCGAAAAACAAAAACAAAATTATTTTTATATATTGGTGTTTGCCTGCATGTACGTCTACACATCACGTGCGCGCCCGACGCTGGCATAGCCCAGTATAGGGCATCTCATCCCCTGGAACTGGATTACAAGCAATTGTGAGCCAGTGATCTGGGTGCAGGTTCCCTGGAAGGACAGCTAAGGCTCTAACCACTCAGGCTTCTCTCTAGCCCAGAACTTGAATTCCTGATCCTCCAACCTCCACTTCCAGAGTGTTGGGATTACAGGCGTGCCCTTTATGTGGTGCTGGGGATTTAATCCATGACTTTCATGCATGTTGGGCAAGTACTCAACTGTTATCAGCTGAGCTACATCTACAGCCGGCATCTACAGGTCAGGCTATGGGCCTGTTTGGAAGCTTTTTTTAAAAAAAGGGATTTTGCTTTAAAATCTTTTATTTAAAGTAGCTTCTTGGTGATCGTCTCTCGAGAATGACCTCACAAGTAAGGCAATCTGGGGTAGTGAGAATAACTAATAACTTCCCAATGTATATTAAATTTTACAAATTCCAAATGCACGAGTCCCTCTGTAATACGATTCCCAAGACAGTATGTCTTCTACAGTAATTCGAGGGCGTCAGACACTCAGCCCCTTCTCAGCATCACGTCGGGCGCGATCCCTAACCTCTGCCCAGGTCGTCCTCTAGGTACACGCAGTTTCTAGACTCGGGCCCCACACGGCCACAATTCATACCGAGGGGAATCGTAGTAGCGACGTACCGGATGTGTGCGTGGAAGTGACCAAAATCAACTCACAACGGATTGGTTCTCCGGAATATTCCTAAGCTTCTTTCGCCTGCCACTGGCCCCGTGTTTTGTCTATTTGAACAATCCCCGCCCCGCCAGAAGCCGGTCCCGAAACTACACTTTTTCATGATTATTGGTGAATGTTCCTGCCCATCCTTGTTCTCGGCCAGCTGATTGGTTGTTGGGCTTGAGAGCCCGCCCTCCCCTCCCGGGCCCAGAGGACAGCGGGGAAGGCGGGTGGTGGGGCTGGGGGCCTGAAGCGGCGGTACCGGCTCAGGCGGCAGCAGCTGAGGCGGTGGCCGAAGCCGCGCGGTGAGTCTGGGGCCTGGAACCGAGCACTTGCGGCCGGCGGGATGTCCAGACTCACGGCCAGTCTGGGTCGTGCTGGGGGAGGCCCGGGAAGCCGCCCGTCTGGACCATGCAGCGTCTCCACACCAATCTCGCGACCGGGGCGGCCCGCACCGCGCCCTCGGGGAGACCCCCAGGTTGGCGGATCTGCTCCAGGCCTGCGTGGCGCCTTTAGGTCTCTTGCCCGGTCTCAGTCACCCCTCCAGAACCACTCACAGACGGTGGAGCCTGCCCCTGGGAGCTCCAGCCCCCTACACCGGGGTCAGCCCCCTACACTGCACGGTGGAGACCCGTCGGGGACTCAGACCTCCGAGCTGAGCTGGGTTCCACCGAGCCCACGCAGTCTCTACCTCTCCGGTGTCCTCAACTTCACGTTTCAACCTTTCATCTTGAACTCCTCTAAGGCATGACCCAAACCTTTGGGATATGTGACTCCAAGTAGTTACTTTGAATCCAGCCTGGGGCAGCTGGCTTGTAGGTAAACCCTATAGTGACGCTCTAGTTACTTGCGTGAGAGTAGAAATT